CTGAACCCCGGCGTGTCTCACTTTCAAGCAGGGAAGTTTTCCACGCCAGTCGTCATTCCTCAGGGAGGCAAAGGCAGACAGTGGGAAGACAGAGCACTCGGGAATGTCTTGGGAAGCTTCCAGTGGCTCAGTTAAGTAATCAGGCTTCTAGATCCTCGTCCAAGTCCGAACCTGGCCAAACCATTGCTCATATAGATACTTGCTGCTCTCACATACAGGGAGATTTACCTGGTTAATGAAAAAAATGAAGTAGGTAGTTCATTCTTAAGGTGTGCATCCAGTCTGGCAGGCTTCTGCTGGTCCCTGGGAGAAAAAAGGAGGAATCATTTTGCCAGCCAAGAGTGGGAATGCCAAATTCTAGCTCAGTGTTTTGAACGTGCGCAGTCACCTCACCTGCGTGTGCACAAATAGATTCCCTGGTGCAGGGCTCTTCGTGTGCCTGTCCCTGTGTCAGGTACATGGGTTACACACGTGTTTGGAGACTTGGTCTCCTACCATGCTCTGTCAGTTCTTTTGGTCACAATTCCAATGTATTCCTCTTCCTTTGAGAAGTCGATTGCCAGGAGTTCTCAGAGCCTGGAAGTGTTGGCGTTCACAAAATAAAGAGTTTGGGAGCATTTCTGTCTGCGAGAGAGAAAGAAGCAGGTGAAAGGCCTGAGGGGTTGATGGGAAGCAGAACTGAACACCAACGTTTCAGGAAAGAGCAAATTGCTTCCTTTTAATCCGGGATTTTTAACAAAATAGGGCTGGTTCCTTATCCCTTCACTTGATTTGAAGTCGGTGTGACAGCTCGTAAAGTAAGGTGCTCCCTTATCAAAATGAGAATGTGCTCTCTTATCAGTGTGGTCTGGAGCATGTTGCCTTTAGAAATCATTAAAAACATATTTGATTCTCTATGTTGGACACTCCTATTTTACTGTAAAGTTACTTGATAATGTCATTTGCAATACTTAATGTTAAACAAGTTTTAAGAAGGATATTCAAAGAGAAAACCTTAAATGTGCCAAATTTCCTTAAATGCGCCAAATTTCCTTAAATGCGTTCTTGTTCCAGTTAATAGAAGATTTTTTATTTCCTTCTTTCAATTTTAAGAGGACTTTTCTTCAGTCTTAGATTCTCATTTTTTTTTTTTTTAATAATTAGTAATGGAGCAGGCTTTTAGTATCTACCCTGGAAGGTAAAAACCCTTAATCACAGTAACATCATTAGTGCTTTCAAGCATTTAATTTTGATGCTTGACAAAGTGCATAGCCATTGATAAGAACAAATAAGTGTTGTTGTGTGCAATTGAGGGAAAAAAGGAAAAGCAAGAAACCCCTAAGCTTCAAGTAATTAAATTTAAATATGTTATTTGAATTTAGCTGAGATAATGTGCAAACTGTGGGTATATTTTTCAATCAGTGAAAGACCCCTTGAGTAAACACGATCCATTTAAATTCAAATCATGGGGAGTGGAAAGTAAACCCTGCTGTGGTTAAGAAGGCTTCTTCGCTGAGACGCTGGGCATTGTGTATCTTTGATATCCAAGTACTCACATTTCAGTTTTATAAAGGGCTGCTTTAACTCATGGATGCCTACATGCCAGAGACTTTTATTGCATCTATTTATTTACTGTTTTTACCTCGCTCCTCCCCTCCAGTAATGAACCACTAATGAAAAACTGACACTCTGCTCTGCCATCCTTTAAAGTGCCTCAAAACTGTTATAATTCAGCACTTGTTAGCCTTGGGATATGGCTTTATGGCATTTGGGTGAAGTTTCCGTGGTACATCTGTGCTCTTTCTCTCTCTGTAGGCCACAAGCTCAGAACGGCAGTAATAAAACTACTAGTAGGTGTTTAATGGCAGGTTACTGAGGAGGTAGATAAAAGAAAATTGCAACATTCACATCAGTAGGGAGTGGAGTTTTTAAGGGTGAGGAACTGCTGAGCTTTGAACTAAGGAAAGTTGCACTTAGTATAGCTTTTGTTAAAGACCCCTTTTTAAACACCAAAATATCTCATCATTCTTCACTGTAAAATGTACTGTTCTGGTAGAACTGGTGCTTGGTGCATGCTGTGTGTGCACATGCAGGAGAAAGCCTGCTATTTTAAGTAGTGATGAATTAGGAACAAGCTTTACTTAGTATTTCTTTCTAAATATCTGGAAGTAGAGAAGATGAAAGTGAAGAAGGTGAAAGAAAAAGTAATCTGCTGCTCTCCTCCAAAACTTTTCTGTATTACCAGTGCAAACAGCTCAATTTTGTATGTTATTCCCTTTGATCAAGCTGTCCTCTGCATGATTTCTCTAGGAGCGCGTGTGCACAGAATGAACAACTACCGCGCTCAGAATACGAGACGGTAACGTCTTCTCTTCTGCTCGCGATCAAAGCATCACTTTGCAATCTGCTACGTGTTTATCTTCGCAGCATCCTAGGAGGCGTTTTAAAGGCAGAGGGGAGAGGAGAAAAGAATATAAATATTTTGCACGAGCCCGCCCAGAGGGCGGACGCAGCAGAGTATGGAGCCCAGTCACTCTCTTTGAGCTAGACCTGCTCCTGGCAGCTGATGAGTTGCCTCTCTTGTCATGAATCCTAGAAAACCAACCAACCTGCCAGCCTGGTTTACAGGGCTGTTTGCAGGAATAAGAGAAAAGTGGTGAAAAAGGGTTTCTGAGCTCAGTTTACCTCAAGTTTAGTGGAGCTGCATGTGAACATCCTATTGCAGAGCCTTTGCCAGTTCTGTGCCACAGAGAGAGCAAATTGCTCCTTGACAGCCTTTGGCCACTCGGCTACCTCATGGCATGGACACCGGCACTCTCAGGCTTTCTCTGTAGCATATGGAGAAGCGGGATAACAACAGAAACGAACAACAGCAAAAAGCAGAAACTCATCTCTGCAACACAGCACAGGATAGTAGATGAGAAGTTAATTAGGATGGAGTTGCCTAGTGGCTAGTATTCAACAGATATGCAGGAAGGAAAAACTAGGGCCGTTCTTGCACCTCTAACTATGAGCAGCAACAAAGGAATTGATGTACAAATCCTGTTTCCTATCCTGGAGTGCAGGGGAGGTTGGCTACTCCTCTTTGGAGTAGAAGTGCCTAAGATGCACTGTGATTTTTGAGAGATGGAAGAAAGCATTTGTTAAACTGTAGAAAACTAAGCATCTTCCATAAGAAGAGATGGTTAATGTATTTTCTTCTGCTGTGAATATTTTACTGCTATTTTACAGCAGAGCAAAAGTGCATTTCCATATAGCACTTTACCAGCCTACTAATACAGGACTTACTAAATTTCAATATAAATGCCTGCAGAAATGAAATGGAAAGCCAAGCAAGTTAAAAAGAGAATGAGGGTAAGAAGGTGAACTTTCTGCCTGAAATCGTTACGATCAGACCAGAGCAAATGACAGATCTGTGGTAAAACTCATTGCCTGTCACCCCAACGTGAGGCGCCAGTTAGCCAAGCAGATTTCTCTCAGGCTGGGTTCTTGGGAAAGTCGTGTGTGCTGTAGAGTCACAGATGGGATACCCAGTTTGGGAGCCGTGAAAGGAAGGCTCGTGTTGTCTGCTGGGGAGCTGTGGGCTTAGCGAGCAGATCCCCAGTTCTGCCACAGATTGAACCCGATGGAGCACCCCGGGTCCTCCCCGCTGGCCGGGTTTATAGTGTCCTCTGTCACCCAGTATTCGCCTGTGCACGTGAGGGGCAGCCGAGGAGGAGGGCGGCCGGGGCGGCCTCTCCAGCAGCGGGGCCCGGCGCAGCCCCCGGCTCCTCCCGGCAGCAGGGAGACCCTCTCGCGCTGCGGGGCCCTCCCGGCGAGTTTCGCTTCCATCACAACTGCCCGATACGGTCGAGCAGCTTTGAGGGTTTCGACGTTCAATTTTCCTTTCATTTACTGTGACTGTTTTATTTATTTGTCTGTCTTGGTGCTTTTCAAGGATACTTGTTTTCAAGGGCAGGTTCTTCCTTTTTTTTCCCTCTCCCTTTTTAATATTTTCATGGATCATCATCCTAAAGTTGAGAGAAAAGAAAAAATAAGAAGAAAAAAAAAAAAGGAAGAAAAAGAGCAACCTGTCTACAGCTTCAGGGGACAAAAAAGGAAATACATTCAATTTAGGAAGACCTCTAATCTCTAGTTATACAGGACAGCTTTGTTAGATAAGATTAAAAATTTCATGAATGTCCCTTTTTATCCCTGGAGACTCCACCATTTATACCAGCTATTGTCAGCATCAAAAGAGCTTGATAGCAGCTGGCTAGAGACGTGACCACACAGCAACACAGCAGCAGAGAGGGACAGTCGGCTTCATAAATCTTGCAAAAGCCCATTTTCACCATGAACCTGCCGCTATCGCAGGGGAGGGCAGAAGGCTGCGTCCCCCTGCCAGGCCAGCCCCGAACTTCGGCCTTCGGAGGCTCTGCTGGACGTGTGGGGCAGCTTCCATCGTCTGCTTCCTTGCAGCCCTTGCGCAGTTAAGGGATCTTGGAGTTCAGCTTGTTGCTAGGTAGAGTTCTGCCAAAAATCATTCAGTCCTTCCCCTTGACAGCATCGTCCTGCTTAATCTGTGGAACGTGTTTATCTCGCGCCACGTGGGACAGGGCCAGATGATGCCAGGCTGGTCCAAGATGGGCTGATCTCTGCTGTTGTCTCGCTGGGAAGCCCCTAGTGCTCTCACAGGCAGAACACAGCCAGGGTGCTGGCCTCCCTCCTCCTCCGGGTAGGAAATAAAAGCTTGCTGGCTTTCATGGGAGCGTCCAGGTTCGTGTGCACGGAGCTTTGTTCTGGGCTTAATTTTCCCTTAGGAATTTCATAGTTCTTGTAAAGCAAACAGTGAAGCAACGCCAGTAAATTCTAGGATATGGAGGAGGAGAATCAGTATGGACCAAAACCTAATGCATATGATTCTTCATGCATTGTGACTAACATAGGTGAAAATAAGGTAGGGTTTTTTGCACTTTAGCCTATTATTAAATAATTGGTTATATATATATATTTTTCTTTCTTTCCTTTTTTTTTTGCAGCTCCATCCCCAATTGCTTTGATCCAGGCTAAAGAGATAACAAGACACAGCGTTGCCTTGGCCTGGCTGGAGCCGGACAGGCCAAACGGAGTTATCCTGGAATACGAAGTCAAATACTATGAAAAGGTACTGTTCACAAGGGACAGGCAAGGAGCTGTGCTTTGGATTAGGGAGGTTTTTGTTTTGATTTAACCTCATTTAATTATGATTTATTTTGGGATAGGATCCCATTATTTGAAACTGAGTAGGTTTATTTTAATAATATCCAATTAAGGATTCCATGCACTTTGAATGACTGCTTGAAATAGTAAGACATATAGGCTGTTCCAGCTGTATGGTATGAATTAGTTTTGTTATTTTTTCTTACCTAGGAACCAAGCCTTTGTAGCAAGCATATTTATAATGAGAATCAATAATGTTGGTCAGAAGTGAGGCATTAGCTTTACATCATAGACAGAAGGATAATAATGAGGTATATAACACACTAATAATAATAAGATCTGTTTGCCAATAGCTTCTGCTTAGAGTGATGGTGTGGGTTGGATGGCTTTTAATAAAGAATAAGGAAAGAAAATTACATTCTTCATACTCTCCGAGTTAGAGGGAGATGTTATTCCTACAAATAACTTCTCTCCTCAAGTATGGAACCATGAAAAGAGCTATTTTCTTTGAAGGTTGTCTGCCAAGATGAACAATTACCTGCTTTTGCTCTTACACTGTCACACACAAGCACACGCTTCTTAATTTTTTTTAAGAAGATAATCACTTTGTTGCTTCCCTCACACATAGAGCAAAAGGCAGATGATTTTCAGTGAAGCTAAATTATAATATTTTCCAGCCAAAAATAAGAATAATCTTTAAGGTGAGACTTTCTGAAAGATGCTTTTCAAGCTTTTTTCTTTTTTTTAATTTGTTTTATTTCTTTTGTTATATGGCCCCTGGCTAGTGGGAGGGAAAAAGCAACACCAGCATGTCTGAATAAAATGTCATTTGTTCATCTACAAAATTATATTTGAAGACTTGACTGTTTTCCAGATGAATTTGTTGCATGATTTCTTAAATAACCGGTGCTCACCATGATCACCGTAGCTAGAGTTTCCTCACCCTTTTTGGCTCGCTCAGGGATCGCTTTGAGAACACGGTGCTCGGGGTGCTGAGCAAGGCCGGCAGTGAGGCCTCTGAGGTGGATTTTGAGAACTCCATCGCTGTTAGTCATCGCCTTTCATCATAACATCTTGGCAAGGCAGCGGGATTCCACCGTCCGCGGCCCAGCGGGGCGTTTTTCTTGCTCACCTCCCCGTTCTTGTGTCGCCAGGACCAAAACGAGCGCAGCTATCGCATCGTGAAGACGGCCTCCAGGAACACGGACATCAAAGGCCTCAACCCCCTGACCTCGTATGTGTTTCACGTGCGGGCCAGGACGGCAGCAGGATACGGAGACTTCAGCGGGCCGTTCGAGTTCACCACCAACACAGGTAGAAACGTGCCCGTCAATGCCTGGCTTTTCCTTGAGAGAACAGCGTGCACGTGACAGCGCTGTGTGGTGGGAGTTTCCCTTCGGATGCTTGGATTAAGGGTCAACTATTCTGGGAAAAAAAGTTCCTCCAGAGCTGCATAACTCATGGTGTGACTGTTAACTGCCACTTCCAGTGTGGCATCTCTCAACCAAAGGCTGTTAGTGATGTGATGAATCTGACCCAAGACATCCATTTGGTAGCTTATGTTCTAGATGAATAAAATGAAAATACCTCAACGTGGCATAAGATGATGTATGTCCTGTAAATACATGGAAGCCATTGATTCTTGGGAGATTTAGGTACCTATTACCGTTTAATGTAAATGTGAGATGCTTGCATATGTTTTTGGATTCTCTCACTTGCAGGGGAATACAGCTTTGTCATTCCCCTTTGTAAGCTATTGATGTAGTTCAATGAAGACGTGATATATTTGCACTTGCCTTTAGACTGTCATATAAAGAGAGAATGTTTGGATGATACGGTAGAGCTTTTCTCTTTGTTCAAGGCCAATAAAAACGTTCGTTTTTTAGTGGCAGGGAGGTGATGTGACCAAGCCTATTTAATTCTGACCATACAGGTCTGTTCTAGTTGCACCAGTCTGTGCCAGCATCATTTAGGATATTAACAGTTGAAAATAATCAATCCAGCAGGAAGGGGGAAGACATTTTAAAACAACTTGTTCTCTTTGTGTCATCTGGGGAGTGATCATCTGGCCCCGCTGAAAAAAAGTAAAGAAAGATGAGTGGAAAGCAATTAGAAGGAAAAAAAAAAGCCATTATACCCTCTGAGCAGCACTGGAGGGGAGAAGGAAGAGGTAGTCCTTGTTGCCAGTGAACTGAGGTTCCCCAAATCATTATCAAACATCAGGTCTTCAGCTAATTAGGGCCCTCTTGGAAAATTTGTCAAATGACTATATAATGAAGGCCTGAAAGTGGGTTTGAGTACTTCTCTAAACTGCCTCCACGAGCCAGAATGCCTCATTGAGTGCTACCTAGGTTGATTTTTTTGAGGGTGTCTGACACTAATGCTCCCTTTTCTGTTTCCAGTGCCTTCCCCCATCATTGGCGATGGTACCAATCCCACAGTGCTTCTAGTTTCAGTGGCTGGCAGTGTTGTTCTTGTGGTCATTCTCATTGCAGCCTTTGTCATCAGCAGGAGGTAAGAACTTAAGCTTCTCTCTCCCCCCTCTCTTTCATGAGGGAGCTTTTTGTCTCCTCCAAACAAAGCTAAATTCTTTGATTAGCATCATAAACAGTGCATTTGCATTACAAGCCTTCTCCCATGTAGCTTTGATCTTTTTAACATTAGTACCACAGCAGCATGTGATGTAATGGCAATAGTTCCAGCTCTATTTGCCCTTCAAATGCAAAGCTGATTCCAATAACTGGCATTGAGAAGCAAGCCAACTAGAGATTTGTGGATAGTGTAATTTGAAGTTAAGTTTAATGGGTATGAGTACAGTAGATCTTCTTGGGCTGACTTGTTATATACAGGGAATAAGCAACTATACTGTTGTGAAGTAAGCGATTGGGCTGCTGTGCTCCCAGTTTTGTCTTAGACATTAGCTGTCTGTACGAGTCTGCATCAGTCTTGGATTAGTTCTTCCACTGGGAGTGGAAATGACTGTAAAACAGAGGCCTCAAGTCATTCAGCATCATCTGTAGCAACACAGCAGACTGAATCAATAGGTTATTTGATTGGGGCAGAACCATAATCTACCAACTACTCGTTCATTCCCTCAAATACAACCCAGGTGTCAGGAAAAATACTATGAATGAGGAGGATAGTGTAGCAGAAACATAGTGTGAGTGCTTCTGACTTCATCTTTTAGCATTTGTTCTTATAAAAAAAAGATCAGCAGGATTTTGGCTCTGTATATTTCTGAAAGAAAACTGGACATACCACTACTTCATCTCAAGTCTGGGATCTGAGGGATGCAAATTTTCAAGACTGATCAGTCTCCGATCAGTTCAATGTTGACAGCTGTAAATGTGCACGACTTCCTCTTGATTTGCTCACTAAATGTCTTAAAGAGCAGTTAAGTCCCTGTGATTATAATATCTAGTAAGTAAGTACTCATGTGTCATTATAGATTTCTGTGGATATTCAACTCAAAGCCTCCATGATGGCAACAAGAAAGATGAACAGAACATATGGAAATGTAATGCAGAGAGACAGGTTTATTAAGAGCCATTGCAATGGAAAATAGCATCACTGAGCTTGATGACTTAATCTCTTCTCTGCTTTTATTGATCACTTTATTATTTAAGGCAGGATTGATAGCTGGATACATCGGATTTCTAATTATGAGTCGCCACCTTGGAGAATTGAGCCTGTCGACTTGTTCTGAGATGATTCCTTCCCCTTCTCCCCCTATAAAAAAAATGTCACTTCCCAAGGCTGATAAACACTGCTTGGTGATTGGCCCTCAATGGATCACTTTTTAGAAAATGAAATGTCAGCCCCTTGCCCTCGTATTGATTCTCTTTAGTATCAGCCATAAAGCTGTCAAAGGAGAGGCTGCCTGGAGCCAGGTAGCTGGCAGCCTCGCTCGTGTGCGCTCTCACTGCCCAGGCTGCCTGCGTCGTTCTCTCTGCCCACGAGTGTTAAACTGGACAAAAGTAAAGCAGACAGCAGGTGGGTCACATAGGCAGGAGGCTGCTGCAGGCACTGCTGGGGATGCAGGTAGAAGTTGTTTAGTGCAGTGGGAACAGACGTGCCGGAAGGTCCCCAGAGGCTGCGGGAGAGGAGACACAGAGCAAAATGCATGAAATACTAAGACAGGGCGGCTGTTCTGTGCATAGTGATGCAGGGAGCCTCGTTAATCGATAGCCTTCCTCAATACACAGCTCGCCAGTAGCTGAAAGTTGCTCTCAATAAACAGAGTCTAATATCCACTGTTACACTAAAGATTTCAACCACTTTTCCATGTCATTTAGAGGTGTGGGCTATGGGGATGCTTTGTGATGTCCCTATACCAGCGAAATTTAATAGCAAAATAATTATACATTGTTCCAAAATTATTTTCGCAGAGAAAATGCTTTGCTATCCATACAGTCCCCATGAGGAGGTTTTGTAGTATAGCCATGACCTAAAAATCATATTTATACAATCAAAACTGCTTTGACCTGCAGATATCTTGGCATCTGTGAGCTACATGTTGGCAGTGGACAGAGACTATAGGTGACTACTTTTGGATGCTGGGTTATTATAACTAATTTAACATTTTGTGTTTTTGAGTCATTGCACAGATCCCAAAATTCATGTTCACAACAGAATTTGTCAGAGGACTTTGCCTTCAGGCAGCTTGAGCTGTTTCAATTTATGTGGTTTTTTTTTTTTTCTGTTCAGTGACCACAGCGTTTATATTAAGAGGAGAACTGACCTGCCTGAACGTTAGTTTAAACTTCCTGAGGTTCAGACAAGCATATTCATACCACCAAAAGCAGGAAGTGTAGCTGGAGTGTTTCTAAACCCTACCCTGCCCAACAGGAACACTGCGTAAAAGTAGAGTATTTCACATAGAGCTTTAAAGGATTTAGGAACAAGTGAAACAGTAAGATACTTCTTAAAAGATGGAGGAGGATGGCTTCTACAAAACCCTTTGGTCTTCTGAAAGTTTCTATCAGACTCCTTTGTTTGTTGCATTTCTTCATGTTCTGCTCTGCCAACGTAGCTGACCCCTTTAGCTGGGGGTCGTTGCCTTCCCCGGCCGTGGGTCTGAGCGCTGCCCTCGTCCCCGTCCCTCTGCGGCTCCGGGGGCCGCACCTGAGTGCAGGTGCCTCCTGCCCGTGCGGGAGGGACCTTCCCTGCCTGCCTCCCCATGGCCCACCTGGAGATTTGACCCCGCTGCTCCGAAGATTCCTATATTCCTGCCTTGAATAGCATCTATTTAGCCCCACCGACCGCCCCAATCCCTGTAATTACGGAGCCAGCGGTGACAAAGCCGCCCCTGTCCCTGGCTGAGGCCGCTGTCCTGCCGCGGGCAGCGCTCGGCGGCAGCGCCCGCTTCCCAGGGCGTCTCCCAGGGACAAAGGTGCTTCACCGGGAGCGTCCGGAGCCAGGCAGCAAAGGTCAGCAGGTGACACAGGGAGACGTGGAAGGAGGTAGTTAGCTTGGAAGGTATTACTTAAAGTTAATTAGCTGCAATTTCATTGTTGGAACAGTAATCCCTTTGTTTCCTTTTGCTTTTTGCCCATCCTTGGGTTTTAGTGGGGGGAAGGTTATTTTTTAATCTGTTAATATGGTGGGTTAAGTTTCTAAGGAAGATTAAAAGGGTTTTTTTTTTCATACTTAAAAATGCTTTCGTGCAAAGGACGTTTGTGTTTCATATCTCCCATCTATATCAGTATCAACAAAATGAATTTGAAGGGGTCGTGCTTAAAAGGCAGAGTACTTTTATTCTTTGCTCTGGGAGAGATTGTGTAGTATCCCCAGCCATCTCTGCAATCCCCTTACCTGACCTGGTCCCATGTGGCAGTGGGTGGAATTTTGTGCTGACTCTTCCCTGTTCAGCTCAGTAACTCGAAGCAGAGAATTGTCCTTTTATTTAACTCTGCTCTGTTACACCAGCGCTCTAAGTCCTCAGGCAAATAAATGTTTTAAATTGGCACTTGGATCCAGCATGGTTTTTAATAATGCATTTCTTGTGATTTGAAGTCATTTGTGCTAATTGACTTTCGTCCAAAAAAAGAAGCTCCCAACCAATTATGGGGCATTCC